GCCCTGCGGTCTGGGAGGCTCTCGGGAGCAGAGTATGAAACCCGCTTCGGCGGTGGGAGAAGCGTGTGGGAGCTGTGTAGCTGGCATTAGACAGAGCCGTTAAAAAGAGTGGCGCCTTTCGATTTAACGTTTGTTTAAAACAATTTAATGTTGCCGTTTCAGCAAATTTGCTAATATGTCGGGAATTAAGCTATGACATGGGATGTACGTATACATAGCATGTTACCTCTGATGACTGAAGTTCAGGAGCGATGGTGTCATCTCATCCGGACAGGCTTTTCAGTAGAGCTAGCCGTGGATACAACAAATGACGAATATAAATGAAGAGCGTGACGGCCACTTTTTCTTGCGCTTGCTTCTGTTGAAGCAAGCGTGGCCTGAACACTAGCAACCTCCTCCCAGGCCCACGTAAATTGGGCTGCTTGGCTCAGTGAGGGTTGCAGCACAAACCTGTTTCACTGGCTGCGCTATTGCAAATGTCCGTGAACTCTTGAAATTGTCTGGATGTATCTGGAAAACTCACCAGAGTGCAGCTCTGGCCTCTCTTCATCTTCTGTTCTTCTGTAAAATATTGACTTCCCTGTAATTTAACTTGGTGTAAAGCTTTAAAACTGATTCTTGCTCAACTGTAAGGTACTGCCCTACACCTTGTGTTGGAGCTAATTGCTGTTCTATTTAATGCTATTAGCAATCATATTTGCTTCTAATGTTTCTAAGTGTTGCCCCACTGCTAAGTTGTTTGAATTCTCCCTTCTCTCGGAAGACTGTCCTGGACAGTGAGGCCTATCCATAACCAGTGAGCTGCAGAAAAGCCTCCTTTAGCCTTCTTCCCTTCTCTTTTATTCCCTATCATAAGTATAATAAGGGATGGGGGGAGGAAACTTGCCCTGCAGGATTCTACTGCTTGGCAGCTCCTTGCTTCTAAAATAACCTTTGACCAAGTCCCAGTTTGTATCATAAAGAACTATCATTAAACTGTAGCTAATTGAGAAGAATGGTGATCTTGCTTTTTTTGAAAGTAAAAAAGCCCTCGTGCAAACGGGTACAGTGAAGTTTGAGCACTCTGTATACCGAAGACCTCTAATGCAGGGTTACGTGGGAGCTATGCGCGCTAGTGTGCCAATGGCGTAATGACAGTTCTGATCTCCCCTGACTTTCTCTTCTCCTGTCTTACACTGGCAGCTAGGATGCTCTTGCAATAAGCTTGCAGTATGCCTCAAAAGTAATATTACTTATGGATTTTGTACAGTTGGTAGCATGCTTATTTTGTCTCTTAAGGATCTTAACGTGGAAGCTTTTTAACGAAGCAATAATCTGACTTTTGTTATTGTGTGGGTTGTTTTGTTTAAGTGAGAAACCTCTTCAGTAGTTTTATTCACGTTTCCCTTCTCCTGGCCCCATTCAACTTTCTGTAGCTGAAATATTGCAATAGAAAGTATATCTCTTATATGCTAATAAGCTATTTCCTTATAAGATACTGGTATTTGCACGTTAAATGTACTGCTGGAGCACTTTGATATGTTTGGGTGAGCTGTACTGGATTTACTTTTGAAGCTTCTTCCTATAGCCTTGGTTTCTAATTTAGCAATAATTCTGCAGAAATGTGCCTACCGGTATTAACTGCAATTAACTTGGCAGCAGAATGCCTGTGACCATGGAAAAAATGGGTTTAGAAACTGTCAAGCCAGCCTTGAGTAGAATTTGCTGCTAGTAGCCTCCTGCAATTTAAACCGGTTTCCTGTTTGTCCTTTTGTTATAGTTTCTGGCTTAATAAAACTAGGGAAAAGTTCTGAGTGGAAGCGGTGCTCATCAAAAACACAAAAACAAAATCCAAAAAACTGTTATTTCTAGAAGAGTGACCTACGTCGCTGATGTTTTCGTTGTCTGATTGCTGTAAGAACTGAGATTAGGCAGTTACCCACCAGTGAATCTGACTAATCTTGCTAACGAGTCTAGAGAGATTTAGCAAGTCTTGCTAATCTTGCTTAGATGTTTACTTTGAGGGAAAGTGGGGCGGGAAAGGAAATGACACTAGAGATGCCACCAAATATAAATGGATGGAGCTATACATTCGAAGGAATTGCTCTCTTAACATCTTATGAAGTGGTGAGTGAAGTCAGTGCTGCGCCTGGTGTGCTTATGAGCTTTCTTAATGCAGGTATGTTTTAAGAACAAAACAGTCCGGAAGCTGGTTGTAAGCTCCTCCAGATGAATTGAAGATCTACAGAATGCAGTATTTCTACAGTCTAGAAAGACTGAAGACTCTGAAGACAGCTTAGTTTTGATTGACTCAATTCCTGGTGGAAAGAGGAGTTTGGAGTTGCATATATAGAAAACAAACAAGCAAAAAAAATTAGAGGCCGCCTTGGTAGCTCTTACTAGTATAGTTACAACGTGCAAGGGTACCACACTTGGGTACAGAATTAGAGCTAAAGTTCTCCTGCAGCCTTAGGTATATAGTGACTTAAAGGCAGAAAAATAGCAAACAAGACTGCATCTGAAGCTGATAAAATAACACTCACTGCTACCATCACAGTTACTACCATGCACCATTAACTAGGTGCTTTTACCATTGTGAAGTTGTACAGATGCTTAATATCTGACTCTATATAGGGTGCTGGCTCCAGACTGCTTGAGTGGGAATACAAGGATATGCCTATGTAAAGATGAACTTCTATGCTTTACCATTGTATCACTGAGAAGTGGGAGCTCAGGGAGCTGTTTTGAGAAAGTGACCTTGAATTTTATCCATCTTTCCTTTTTGTAGAAGGTAAATATCTGTGGACACATTTTTCCAAAAACATGTAGGCTTCCGCTCTCCTATAACTCTGAGCATTAAGTATAGTGTGGTACCAAGATGCGAGGAGCTTTCTGGATAGGAGCTAGAAAGGGCTTCTTGATGCAACCTGATTATCCTGGCAGTATTAATGTGAGATCACACTCCTGTTTCCCTACCTAGAGAAATGGAATTACTTGGATGATGCATTCTAAGGGAGTTGTGCCCTTCTCTCACATCTGAATCTGACCTGGATCCTTTGAATTTTTTATCAAGCCAGAAAGCAGTCAGCTTTAAACAAACTAGAGACCTAAGGATCTGGCCAAGAAAGATAGGGGTCTGTAAGTAGCTGTGTACACTGAAAATTTGGACCCTTGTTTAATAAGGGTAAATCAGTCTTGTACATCCTGGAGGTCCTAGTTCTCTACCTTGTCATCTCAAAACAAAATCACTTCAGATATAAGAGAGCCTAGCCCAGCTAGAAATAACTTTTATATTATAAACAGAGTGAGCATTCACGTATAACATCCTGCTCAAAGACAAGTCCTGCAACTTTCTGTTGTGTTTTTATCTACTGCTGTTAACATCTCAGTCTGCTCAAAAGAGCTTTTCTAGTTAGTTGATTATATTAAATACAAATGACCCTTTAGACCAGAACGATAATTACTTTAAACAAAAATACAATGAGAGCACAACTGTGGCAAAGTCAAAGAATATTAATAAGGCAGAGTTTGCTGCGGAGAGTTTGCTGAAAGGTTTTGGGGGTTATTGAGAGAGGGAACACTGTGCTTAGGGTGGGAAAAGGTTTAACATTAGGACTTGTTCAAAAGGTAGGGGTTGGGTTTAAATTGTCTCACAACTTCATGTAAGCAGTAGCAGTGCTATTAAACCGCAATCGCGCTGTTAAATAGCAGTGTCTAAGAACAGTAAATAAAAATTGAGAGCACTATGTGCTTCTTTACACAGGGGCACAAATAAAAACCTATCTCCCATAACTCCTCCGAACCGCTT